GTCAATGCTTTTTGAAACAGGCCAACAAAAGGGGCATGGGAAAAGGGTAGAGATCGGAAGATTTACAAGATTCAAAGACAAAGACCATGGGCAACCATCCACACACGTGGCTCCTCCCAGTGCCGGCGTTCTGATGCCATGTTGTTCAATGTTGCAAAATATTTGCAACGAACAGTGGCAGCACTCCTCTCCACAACCACCAAAATTTCTCTTCTTTTGTTTTGTCACTTCCTATTCTTTGTTTTTCATTCTTCCTTGTTTGAGTTATTGGGTTCTTTTGCAGCCTAGATTGATGCATTTTGACGGAGATACCCATGATTCCTCGATTCGGAGGAGATTGATACATGATGATAACGATGGCGATGATGAGCGAGCGGAATGATACTGTGGCGCCGTCGCCCCTGAGAAGACGAACAACACAAGTCATGATGTATATGCCATGACTTTACACTCTTTTCCTTGTTCTGGTTTTTGCACTCAAGAATGATAAAGCACACAGTCCAGATATACATGTGTCCTGGGCTCCGGATGTTCGATGTACTTATTGTTTTACGCTAGTTAGGAACAGACAAGAAAATGAGATAAACTATAAGAATATATTATATATACCTTGCATTCCCTATCATGCTTAGTGAACATCTCCCTCTGCCGGATTCGATGAGGGAGAGTTTTTGCAAACTTTTCGACGGATGAGCGCTGGGGAGGAGCTCGAGTTTCAGTGGCGGCGATCGGGATACATCTGTTATACGCCACCACTTTCACAGAAAACAGCGGTAGCCGAGAGAATTTTTCCAGACTTTTCGCTGCTACTAGTGGATTTCGCTACCTGCGTCATCGGAGTTTCAAGGCCATTGTCATTCTCTCTCTGACGAAGATAGTATACTGAGAAGGTGTCAAAGTACTGTATTCTTCTTACCAGGAGACTGTTCATGCCTAAGAGAAGCATCGATTTTTTTTTTCCATAGTGAATCAATTTAATTTCAAAGCCTTCTATGGGATACAAAGTGAACAGAGATTGTAATCATCAAGTTCCCGATGGTGGCTCCTGGTGGCTCTTCGCGGACGGCTTTCCAATTGGGATGATGGCGTCAACAGCTGGAACTGGGCCCAAGAAGAGTTAATGCCCGAGAGATGGTAATAACTTGGGGATTGAACAATCGAAGAGTTATTGAGCAGGGAGTGAGCTCCTGTTGAAAGCTGGAGATGGGCTCATCCTTGTTTAGCACCTAAGCTTCCTGTAGCTGTTGGGAAGAAACTGCGGGGAGCAAAGGGGAAAATGGCAAGTGAGCATTCCACCCTTTCCCCAAACCTCCCACTAAAGGTCTGCATTTAATTGATGTGATCGTTAGGTATGTACGGCGGCCTGGCAACTCTCTCTATATATGTGGTTTGATTGAATATGAGGCAAGTTGAAGGTGCTACTGCGGCCTCATCGGTTCAATCCAGACCGCCTGGGCGTCCACGGCTAGCTCAAACAGCTAACAGCGGAGAATTGAGATGAAAGCAGAGGATTCTCAGATTTGAAGGCGTAAGATTCATCAAACTGATTCTGCAAGAGGCTGCTCGGAATATTGCTACGGATTTTGTTAGGCGTGACTGGCTGTTGGAATTACATACCATCCCTGTTAAACTTTTCAGAGTATAATCTCATGACAATTTTCTATTAGTTTTCAATTCCCATATGTTCTGGCTGGTTAATTGCAAGGACCAGGGGCTAGGAGGTCTGGGTGATTGTGACAATATATGGGGGCGCCATTGAGCACCCAGATCTGCAATCAAGAGCTGGTTAGAAGAGTCTATGGATATAGTTGTTCATGTGTGAAGTGATTGAGAGCCAGGAGGCAACTGGAGTTGGAATAAACAACAGCAGGAAATGAATGGAATTGGTAAGCCGGTGAGTTGGGCCGTTGGCTGGCCTGAGGTGGTGCCCGATTAGCGGCCGGCACTTAACGCGGTCAGTGCAGCCAGCGCACGCGTCTGGGCCGGGCAAGGCTACTACCAGCACCTCAACCATTGAACCCACACGCGTTCCTGCCATTTCAGGTATACCATCCATCCATTCGTCTCGGGCAGGACCGACCTCAACCTCACCCTCTCCTTCCCGCTGCCACTGAGCCATTGAGCCACAGCGCCCTCACCAGCCACAGTGACCTCCTCGACAGCATACTCATTCCTCCTGGGCCTCCCATCTCCTATGAGTTGAGTTGGGCTCTCACCCGTGCTGCTCAGCCTCCTCCCTGCAAGAATTTCACTCCCTCTCACTCGCCCGCGGCCAGTCGCATGCATATACACATGCATGCATTGGCGTGACTCCCATCTCCTCCAATTCCATCTCTCCCGCCCATCACCGGGTTCATCCATAAGCCCAGAGTGAACAACAACCTTCACCCTCTCCTGTAATCCCCACCACTTCCCGCCTCCTCCCTCCTTCTCACCATGCCCCCACGGAAGTCCACTGAAAGTCGTAAGAGCGATGTCTCAACCGCTCGCTTTGCCCTCAAGGAGGGTGCCATCCCACAGCACATCGCTCCGGCCCCCCCTAGCTCTTCTTCGCTCCCGGCGGCATCATTACCCACGGCCAATCAGACCCAGGACGCCCCGGATGTAACAGAAAAGAAGGGAGACAAAGACCAAGAGAAGGATAAGGAAGCAAAGGAGAAGGAAAAGGAAAAAGAAAAAGAAAAGGACAAGGACAAGGACAAGGACCCAAAAGGAGAGCATAAGGATGCCACTACAATTGAGGTATGCTGGTATCCTTCATTTGATATCTCTGCAAGCGCTTCGCTCCAACTCCGCGCCACCAATATTCACATCAACTGACATCCCAATTCAAGGAACTTACTCTCCCCAAATCCATCATCACAAGGCTGGCCAAGGGTGTGTTGCCCCCAAACACACAGATCCAAGGCAATGCCATTCTTGCCTTGAGCAAAAGCACTACTGTTTTCATCAACTACCTCGCAACATAGTAAGTCTCATCCCGATCGGAGGGACAACAGGAAAAGAAATAAACCGTTCTAACATTGCAACCACAGTGCCAACGAACACACGGTCAATGCCGGAAAGAAGACCATATTACCAAATGACGTCTTCAAGGCCCTCGAGGACACCGAGTTCGGTTTCCTCAAGGAGCGACTAGAGGCCGAGTTTGCCAGTACGTCCCCATGCTCCTAACTGAACCCTTTGGTTCTTACAAATCTTGATCGCTAAAACCTCCGAAACCTTTAGAATTCAGCGCTATCCAGACTGAGAAGCGCACATCCTACCGTAACAAGGTCAAGGCCGCCAAGCAGGACGGCGCGCCCTCAAACGCGGGAGACACGTCCACGCTCTCCACCGCCGCTGACTCCAAGGCGGGAGGGGACGACGTCGAGATGGCCGACACCACCCTCGGTGCCGCATCGGACGCGTCCGGGCCCCGCGCCAAGAAGGCTCGAATTGATCCCGCAGCGGCTGCCGCCGGGGACGAGCATGATGACGCCGAGACTGAGGATGACGAGGAGCATTTGCAGGATGAAGACGAGGAGGAGCAGGAAGAGGAGGTGGAGGAAGATGACGGGGCCAGCGCTGAGGAGAGCGGAGATGAGACGCAGGATGCCATTGAGGAAAGAAACGGAGTTGAGGAGCATGATGAGGCATTGGACGGCGACGAGAGCGACTAAGGCTGATACGAAATCGATGCTCTAACGATTCAGTGGCAGCTTCGAATGCTAGGCTCGAGCTACCTAGGAATACGCCCCCTTGTCTACGAAAGCACGGCGATAGACACAAAAAGAAACTGCATGACCTCTCTTGGCTAGTATACCGCGACAATATAGTCCTGATCTAATTAATTTACCCCATCGTTCTACGGTTGCTAATTCCCGTTACATCATGGGAAGCCAACGCTCAGTGTCACTTTATCAATGTGTCTTAACACTAGTAGTTCGCAGTGATAATGATTGATTGATAGAAATAGATACTCGATAAGAATGAGGAAATCCACTATTAACTAAAAAATACTCATAAAGACCTCCAAAGCCACCCCAAAAGCCCAAGATAAGATCCCACCCAGCACCAATCATATGTAACGTTCAAGTATCACCTTGCCTCAACTCGTTACCCAGTGAGACCCCAAGCAATAAACATCAAGACGGCTGCAATAGACGCCGAATGGTTCATATCAGTCTGCACAAGACCTCTCGTATCCCCTATCCCTACCCAGTCTGAGAGGGGAACAAAATAGTAAGCCCGGAAAAATAAAAGCTGCGGCGCTCAGGAGTGAAAACTATCAACAAGTCTGAATAAACCACGGTGTGACTATCCATTCCTTGACTGTAAGGAGCGAGGGCCACTAAAATTGATGATAGTGGCTTGTCCCGCCAACCAAGACCAAATAATCAACGGGATCAAACACACCGTGGAAGCCAACGAATTGAAGCTGAAAAATCGACAAGAAACCGAGTGGTATCAAAAAAAAAAAGGAAAAAAAAAAAGAAGAGGAAGAAGCAAGAGAGACCAAGCAGTGTGCATAACCCCCGTGTATATAACCGGCGAGAAGACCCGAGTATGAGAAAACCCGAGAAGAACAAAACCCGAAAGAGGAAAACATATGTGAATCCTTCCTGAACAGCAATGAGAACGAAGCCCTCCTCCCAGAGTCAAGCCTATTGTGAAAAAGGGTAGTAGTTCATGTACGTGCATGTGCGTGAGAACGTGGTACGCATGTGTAGAACTCCATCCCATCAGATAAGTGAGCAGCAAATGCCAAACCACCGTCAAATCAAACAAGGCGGCTAGTGAGCTCCCCAAACCCGACTCCTCTATCCAATCCCTGCCAATGCTACTAGATTGGACCCCAGGTCCGAAAGCAAATAAGCCTCACCATCAACTAGCATGCTTGGGTATCCAGGAACAACGCAGGCTACTGAGCCAACGGAAGGGTAAAGATATTAGAGCCAACGCAGAAGCAAAATTCAACTGAAAAGAAAAACTAGGCAAATGAGTCATGGGACAGCGTCTCACTGTTGCTGTTGTGGTGCCCCCCACCATTGCTGAGGTGACGAATGCTGACCGGACCATGACTGTGAGACTTGGGGGTTTGCAGGCGTGCTCTGTGGTAAGTATTGCCTGGGTGTTTGCTCTGCTGAGTACATCCCCCCTGTGGCCGGATATTGCATGCCACCCATTGCGGGAAACTGCATCCCTGGTTGCATCTGACTGGTGCCAGGCTGTCGCAAGTGAGGAGCTGGCGACTGAGACTGCGCGGGAGGCTGGGCTTGTGTTGTGTAGCTACCATAACTATGTTGGGGAGTCTGTGTGGTTTGCGACCACATGTTTTGGCCGGACTGATAGTTATAGTTTGGTGCTTGGCCGATGCTACTTGAGGACCCTGCTATAAAAGAAATTCAGCAATGAGATACGCTGCTTGAACAGCTATCAAGATGACTTACCTCGGATTGGTGCCTGGCCTGCCTGGGCATGGATTGTCTGTGGGTAAGAAGGCGCCGCCGTCATCATCATCTGTGGGCTCTGAGACGACACAACAGGTGGCTGAGAGATTCCGGAGGTAGTCGTATGAGGTGAGTTAGTGGATCTCGTTGTCGGGACGGCTGGGTCGGTGGGTTGGTTTAGGTTGGACGACGGCTGTTCATGAGGACGGCGCCAAACATTCTGAAGATAGTCACCTCGCATTTCCCGTTGCTGATTGACGTTCCTGTTGAACTCGGCTGCATGTGAAGCTTGTGAGTGAATCTCCCCGAGGGGCGAGGGCCGGGTCTGGTCTTGGTACGGAGGGCCGGTAATTTCCTGTCGAGGACCACCTTTGATAATTCCACTGTAATCGCGCGGCCTATTGTCGTTCAAATCTGATCCTATTGTTAATCCAGGCATCCTTGTGGAATTTCCAGGTGGCGCTCCGATCATACCTGCTTGAAGGAGTGGTGGTTGAGGTGGACCGGGGTAGGCGCCAGGGCTGTGATTGTAGACAATCTCTGTATGCGAGCTCGGCATGAGAACGTTGTTCTGCGCTTCGGCGGCTTCTCTTGCTTTGGCAGCACCAGGTCGCTTCTCCCCAGCGAGATCAGCCTCCGTGAAGCCTTGTTTGCGGGCCTTCTGTTCCCAGTAGTCGTCGCGGACACGTCGTCCATTCTCGATAACCCTACTACCGAACTGACGGAACATGGACCTCGCGGTCACAATGGCTATTTGCCTCGATCGATACGAGAACGGGAGGATTTCCTGCTGGACAAGGTCGTCCTTTTCAGCCTGGCTTGCAATAATCTTGAAAAGTGACCTGTTCTTGTTGAACAGGAGGTACGAGTCGCGATAGCCTAGAACCCGAGCGCACTCTGTAGCAAGCATGAAAAGTTTGTCGCCGCGGTTGGGAACCAAAAATGTTCTACATCGGTAGATTCGATTTCCGAGGAGTTGACCATTCGGCATCACCTTCTTCTCTCCAAATTCATCGATTTCACGAGGGATATATTCGTCGCCAGTCTCATTCAATTGGTCGGTCGTATGATCTCTTACGGTAGGCAGAGCCTTTAGTGTCGACTTGGTCGGGGTGGTCTTTGGCGGAGCTGCAGCGGGTGCAGGGGAAGCTTGGTAAGCTGGAGTGGTTTGCGATGGCAAGCTCGCATCTTGAGTTTGCGGCGTGTGAGGAGGGGGGGCTGTTTGAGGCATTGTGGACACGGGCGCCTGGCCAGGAACTGTCGTTGGAAGAGTCCCGGTGTGCTTCAATTTTGTCGAGGTCGCGCGTTTCGAGGAGCGTTCAACTTCACCTAGATGCAGCGTGTGTGGTCAGTTGGTAGTTCCAAGCGGATTGAGCAATTTGTGAATGTAATCTGGTTTGCGCAATGTTTCACGAGGGAGGTGAGGTCATGAAGGCCGGGAGAGGGAATCAGTCGTTCACGGGAGTGTTCATGTGGCCAAGCAACTTGCTCGGCGACACAGAAAGCAGCAGCCCACGACATACCATCATCGCCGGGATGCGGCGAGGCGTAAGAGGTTGGTGAGCGACCGCGCTTGTAGCCGCGAAGCGACGAGTTTGCTAAACCTTCAAAGGCGTATTAGATTAGCTGAGTCAAAGTTGAGGTCTGGTAGCGGGCTTGGAAAAGAGCAGGGAATAAATAGGTGGATCGCAACGGCAGCACGCGGCGCGCGCCAGGCCGCCGCGTGGGGTCAAGGTGTCAATGAATGCGCCAGGCTCGACTCAGAAAGCACGAAAGAACACAGGACAAACAAACAAGCAGCGCGTATTATATTCTTCTTCTTTTGAGAGTCGCAATATTTTGGTCCCACAAAGTCCGTGAATTTGAACGTTCGTGCTAGAGATGAATATGGGTGTGGGTGGGAGCGATGGGTGTGGTGGGTTGTGGCCCGGCAATGGGGTTCATTCCAACCAACGGTTCATCAGACAAAACGGGGAAAAAGAAAAGAAGAACTCACCAGGGGAACTGAGGGCCGCGGGGTTGATTGTCGCACTATCGGCGCCAGGTGGACGCGCGTTGTACATGACAGACAGGAACGACCCGAGCCAGCGGCAACGATGTTGGGGCAAGCGACGTGTCGAGAGGTAGTTGGACTGTGGAGATCTGGGGAAAGAGGATGTGCAGATGGGCAGGATTAAGCGTGCATGTATGTGGACGGGCGGTTTACGGGGAGGGGGAGGGTGTGTCGGAGCCCTGAAGGAAGACTGGATGGAATGTAGGGGGGAGGGAGACAGGACAAGGTTATTGGAAACGAACCAGCCAAAAGGAACGAGCAGATGGCCGCTCGAGTGAGGCAGCGATGTGAGGGGTGGAAGGGGGGGAGGGGCGGGCGGCAAAATTAATCATCAGAAAGAGAGGTCCGTGTTCGTGATGAGTGGCCGGAAGTGCAATGATAGCAAGATTATACCAAGCAAAGGTGGACGGTGTAATCCAAGTCGCTTAGCACGCCAGCAGCCATGGCTAGCAGCGAAGAGTCTGGTCCACCACCAGTACTGGTAGCGCGGGGCAATTGAGAGAGGCGGAACTGGCGGATGTCATAGACGGAGCGCAGCCAGGTAAGGGAAAAGGCAAGACAAGAGAGAGGGTAGGGCGGGGGACAAAAGAAGATAACTGAAGAGGTGAGGTTTTACCTTTTGGATGAGGTTTGCGCCGTCTTTGGTCGGCCGGCGGTAGGCCGTGGGCGTGTGCAACGGCGGCGAGGACAGGCACAGGATTGGTGGTGGCAGCACTCAGGACCGCAACGAATGCGATGCGACACGGTCAGATGCAGAGGTGGCCGTCGCGTGAAGAGGAGGTGCGGATGAAGGCGACGGGAGGTTTGGGAACCCAGTCAGAAATGTGTATGATGGTGCTGGGCGTGCCGAACTGGTGGTAGGCGGTCGGTGGTGGAGGCGCGCGTGCGGCAACGGCCTGGGAGGTAGCGCAACCAGATGAAGATGTGATTGCGATGCGATGCGATGCGATGCGATCCAGGCGACGTGTGGGGAATAAAGGTCTTTCTGGGTCGAGCAGTCGCGCAACGTTCGCGCGAGGCTCAGACTGTGTGATGTGCGACAACAGAAGCTCCTTTGAGCCTTGCCTAAGTATGGATGGAGCCACGAGTTAATGGGTGGCAGCGATGGTAAGGGTGGTGGTGGTGGTGGTGTTGGTGGAGGAGGAGGAAGGCGTTGCGGGTGGTGGGTTGAACGGTAAATGGAAAGGCAAGGTAAGGTTGGGCTAGGTGTAGGTGATGGGCAGTAGGGCCACGGAAGGAGTGGAATGGTGGTGTTGGAGGCGATTGTACCTGCGAGGTAGATTTGGGGTGGGACGGGCCTGGGAGCTGGGACGCCTGTAGCCAAGGCGCCGGCAGGGTGCAGAGAGGTTGAGAGGGACGGGAATCCCACTATTAGTAGGTGCCCAGTGAGGTTAGACAGAGCTGAACAAAACATGCGCTTGCTTGCTTAGGGAGGTAGGTATCGAAAGGTATACCTAGATGGGATGGGATTGGGTTTTCTGTGTCGCTTGCGGTGGTCTGGCTGGGCTGGGAGAGAGGACGGCTGACTTACAAGATGGAGGCTGGATGACGATGGAGGCGGGCGACAAGGCCGTTCGCAGACTAGATGCGCTGGGCAGGCAAGATAAACAAGGTGGAAAGCCAAAATGCTGCACTCTGCAGTTCGTCTGGCTCTTGATTGCTATTTTGAATCCCGCAGCGCAGGCCTGGGTCTTTGGCGGCATCGATGGGTGGATGGATGGTTGGCGAGCTGGGGGAGGGGAAGGCGCGGAGGGGTGTGGACGATATGATGACCCTCCATGAACGCAGGCCCGGTGCACAGGCAGGAACGATGCTGCCCCAAGTTCGACCTACTGCCCTCTCGTGCTTGATTAGCGTCATGCACAAGGCGCCAGAAACAGGAAAGAGGGTCCTTGTCCGAGGTTTTGTGGGGCCCGTCGACGCATACGGATAAGCGAGAGGAGATGCCAGCGGAGAAAGGCATCCATCCATGCCGATGCTGCAATAGCCTGCAGCTGGGGGGTGCATATCGCTCGCAACTCTCCCCTCTCGAGATTGAGCGCTCCAGATCAGTCGGTGCTGTCAGAGCGCAGGGGGAGCGCCCATCCCTGTGCTCAGCAGCAGCGGATCAAGTCCATCCATGTGTATGGCCTGGCCTGCGTGCCTGCATGCATTGCGTCCAAATGGGCTGCATTCTTGCTGCACATGCAAGTCAGCCCCAAGTCCCAAGTCCCAAGTAAGTCGGTCCCGTAATTAACACACGTCCGTGCGAGAGTGCGAGTGGGCACCCGCCGATGCTGCTGACAGCGCCGCCGGCCAGAGAGGGCCATTTGCTCCCGAATCGAGCAGATCGTTGAACCGGCTCCCAAGGTCCAAGACTAAGCTGGGCTACTTTACTTGATTCACACTGGCCGGGGACCGCTCCACGACCTGTGATGCTGGCTGCTAGTCTCCTAGTGCCGCTTGTCGCCCACAAACCCTATCCAAGGACACGACGTGCGAAAGCCGCTATCCACATGCTAGTGAGTGCTACTATCCTTGATCAGAGATCTATTATACTGCTTCGAGCAGGTGAGGCGTCTAACTCACAAACCTCGGTCCCTCATCAGCTCGACGGCTTGCTTTTTGCCATACTATGTATTCACCATCCAGCGACAGGAGGGGAGCCTCCGCTGATGGGGTGTCGTCCACGACCGATGAGACCTGAACTTTGCCTTTGGCACCCGGCCGGCCGTTCACCGTTCGCTTCGTGCGCAGTAAGCCGCGAGGTAAGACAGCGGAGAAATAAAAAGCTAAACCCCCTTGCAAGTGCGACCTGAACGCTCGCACAGTGACTCGAGCAAGAACAGAGTTCTTTGCCTGCCCCCTCGCGTCGCACAGGCGAATTATGAGGTGTCAATGACGGGAGGCATGTGGCGCAGCCGTGCTGATTGGACACTTGCGCCCTACTCAAGGGCCACAGCCGACTTTGGGATGACTGTGACTTACATCATCGCACATGAGGGCGGATGTAGCTGCATGTACCCTCTGACCAGAGGCATGCAGTCTGCAGGTTTGCAGGCATTCAGGTTCAGCCCATGGCACCCTGTCCTGGAAAGGCACTGGTAAATTATCCAGTGTCAACGAATTTGAGGTTGTCCCGTATACCGACCTACGGGTAGTTGCAGCACCAAGCATTCATCGGTTTCCACCTGTCTACTGCATCAGGAAGCCCGTTGGGAGAAGTAGGGAGCTCTCTGATTAGAGTAGCCGGGCTGTCTGAATAAGGGAGGTACGAATGCCTTCGGTCGCCCGGCTTGCCTGCATCTCAATCATCCTGTCGCCGTGCCGCCCTCACATCATGTTTCACCGCGCCAAGGCTGAGTATAGCGGCGGCTTCTACCAAACTTCGATCCTGTTCCTCAATCGCATCTTGTTCCGGGCCAGGGTCTTGCCCGAGAGGACCTAAATTTACGCACGAATGCCATGGGACGGCGAGAGGCACATATTACAAGGCCATATCGAAATACAGGCACACACATGGACTACGCACACCCTTTCCCTTTCTCTCGCACCAAGCCGGTGAGATAAGTGACTCCGAGCAATACTTGTCGTGCGGCGCCAAGCAAGCTTATCTGAACCAAGTTAGGCGCTATAGCCGTATTGAAGCACGAGATCAAGAATTGCCCCCACCAGTTCGATAATGCGGCGTCGCTTACCAGAACCATACCGACGGAGCTCGCAGGAAGCAAGTCGGTGTAAGTGTCAGGCAAGGTAGTTATTGGATGCCTTGCTCGGTTTGCCAGCCTTGAATACGTGTATCGTACACGATGAATACAGGGGATACGCCAAGGCTCTTGGACCTGTTGTGCCCGATCATTGGCCATCAGCCGCATTCTAGCACCAGGAACTAGCAGTCGCTTGGGCAAATGCGAAACTCGAGAGTCCCATGTCGGCCATGTGTGGCCAGGATCAAAAGGCATTTCCCATCTCCAGGAGCTAGCGAATGGCGCCGGCGCAGGGAATCCACTCTCGAGCAGGCCACACTGACAGAGTAATGCGTGAGTGAGGTGCGGGAGACCACTTTAACCCACATTGCTAGTGATGATTATCCCCAGTTCGCCGTCAGCCACCAAAGCTACCAAAACTCAACGGCCTGCAGGTTCCGTGCCCGGGTTGTTGGGACGTGAGCAGAGCCATGTCTCATAAGCACGAAAAAG